ACGAACGCCACTCCTAGCATTCTACCGCCATTTCGGCGGACAGTGCGAATTTGGTCGTAGACTTTCGCGTCCATGTCCGCCAGGATATCCAATGGCGGAAAGCGAGCCAGGAGAGTTGCCGCCTCAAAGGATACCGTTCGGTATCCCCGTGCGATACGGATGGCCATTTTCCGCTGTAAACGATAAATTTTCGCTCTACAGCGTCGAACGCCTGACAGTCGAGCTGACCAAACAGGCGCCCCGTAAAGGACCATCGACCGCACGACGCCCGCGTAGAGGCGCCGAACTTCTTCTCGAGGTCCCCCAATGTTAGGCAGCAGTCTGTGCAGAGCACCCACTGCCTTCTCGACTCGAGGAACCAGGCGTTCGAAATGCTCTTCGAAGCCCCACCGACCATCCAAGATTAGGCCTAAATACTTTATGTATTGCCCAACCTGGACTTGCGCATCTCCAACGTATACCGACGAACTGGGTGGCTCCCTGGTCCTAGGGAGCTTATGGAACCATAGGGCCTCGGTTTTATGAGGCGCTATCTCCAAACCCAGTCTGCGGATTGAAGCCACGACATTTGCCACCCCGAGCTCTGAAAGCCGGATAGTCTCCTCAAAGGTATTCCCACTGGCTATTACCAACGTGTCATCTGCGTAGCAAATGACATGGACACCAGCGGGAAGTACAACACGCAGGACCGCATCGTAAGCGAGGTTCCACAATAAAGGACCCAGCACAGATCCCTGTGGAACTCCGCATGTAATCTCCCTCCGCTGAACGCTACCGTCCCGGCCCACATAGCGAATGTGCCGATCGCGCAGATAAGCCCCGACAATATTCTGCAAATAGGGAGGAATCCTGTGATAAACAAGAGCCTCCCTGATCGCCTTCCAGGGTAGAGAGTTAAATGCGTTAACAATATCTAGGCTTATTGCCAACGCAACCCCACCCCGGGACACAGCCTGATTCGACAGCGAGCGGACGTGCAGTATCGCATCTATTGTAGAACGCTGCTGCCGGAAACCATACTGGTTTTCAGACAGGTCAGGACCAACTCGCGACAGGTGCCCAACGAGCCTTTCAGCGATTACTCTTTCAAAGAGCTTGGAAACCTCGTCGAGCAGGCAAATGGGACGGTATGCAGAGGGTGAGTCTGCGGGCCTGCCTTGCTTCTTTAGGAGGACTAATCCGGCTTCCTTCCATCGGGTGGGGAACACGCCTGACTGAAGACAGCTATTGAACAACCGCCTTAGACGATCCCCCAGAGCATCTAGAGCCAACACCCATGCACGGCCGGGGATACCATCCGGGCCAGGCGCGGTGTTTCGAGCACTTAATCTGCGCACGGCTCGGTCTAACTCTCCTTCTGTTACCCCTAAGTCAGGAGACCAATCTGAGGATGGAAGGGGCTGTGAGGGACTATCACTAACTACTGGGAAGAGCGTATTTATCACCCTTTCCAGTAGATTCGGATCCATGGTCTCCGTAAGGGGAGGAACCCATGGGCGGAGTTTACCCATGACTAAACGATATGGTCTTCCCCACGGATCCCTGTTTAGCCCCTCGAGGAGTTCCCTCCAGGACCGAGACTTGGCATCTGTAATGGCGTGTTGGAGCGCCATAGTTGCTTCTCTGTACGCTCTGTAGGCTGTGGTGATTTGTTCTTCCGTGGCGCTCGGTTGTCTTCTACGACGGGTGCGCTGGAACTGACGTCGATGCCTCAGACAGACAGAACGCAAGTGTGCAATGTCTGCCGACCACCAGTAAGTTGCTCTAGGACGCTGGCCGCACTTGGCACGGGGCATAGAGGCGTCGCGGATTGACGTCATTTTGTCCCGAAACCAAGTCGCCTCTACTTCTGGATCGGGCGGGATCCCCTGGGAACCATCTTCTGGCCAGGCAACGACGTTGGCAGCTGCGATGAGCATGTCTCGATCGAGTTTTTTGAGGGCCCAACGTCGTGCCGGTGGGTTAGAACTTGGATAACTTCGACTATGGGAAGGACTGGGAGCCACATCAAACACAATGTGGCGGTGGTCAGAAAGAGTGACCATCTCTTCAGCAACCCTCCAGTTCATAATTCTGGAGGCTAAAGAAGGAGACGCCCACGTTAGGTCTACAATTGACTCTCCCTTCCACCGGACACAGGTGGCGATAGCTCCTTGATTCATAAGTCGGAGGTCAAGTGAAGCCGCCCAGTCCTGCACTATGTGTCCCCTAGGCCTGTCCCGAGTGTTACCCCATGCTCTGGAGTGAGCATTAAAATCACCTAGGATTAATACTGGACGGGGTAAGCATTTATATCTAACGCAATTCGCTACCCCATCCAGGTATATCTCGAACTCAGGGATAGAGATGTTAGGAGACACGTAGCATCCCACCACAGCTAGTGGTCCCCACTCAACAGCCACAACTCCTTGCCCCCTGTCTAACAGGGCACAGTGAGGCCCACCACTCCCACCAGCCCAGTAAATGGCAACTGAGTCTACGGTATCACGGAACCAGCGAGGATGATCCTGAAGACCATAGGGCTCCGCCACTACCGCCAATGCAACCGACCACTCCGCAACAGTTTGCAGGAATAAATTCTGCGCGCTGCGGCAGTGGTTCAGGTTGCACTGCAGGACTTTTAGGGCTGGGAATGTGACGTATCCATTTCCTCTGGAGTGCTTACACTTTGAAGTGAAGCTGACGTCCCTTGCAATTTCTTTTGCGACTGTTTTTTTTGCGGTTGACAGTTTTTCCCTCCAAGACGGTGGTTTGAAGGGCGGCCCTGGTCTGAGCAAACTGGACACTTCAGAATTGGCGAGATACATTCACGAGCTTTATGGGCACCACCGCAGGCATAGCACTGGGAGCTCCGGTCCACAGAACTAGTACACATGCGCCTGACGTGTCCCGACTCGAAGCAACGGTAGCACATCATGCGACGTGGTTCCAATACTTCGACCCTAACTGACGTCCAACCCAATGGCATGCGCTTGTCGGACGCTCCTCACGTCGAATTTCACCAATTTTAATTTCTTCCGTAGAACATCCTCCCGCCCTAGCAATGGCCACTGCCACCTCCTCTGGGGTTACAGCGTCATTCAGGTCCATAACCCTTGCCTCGGCAAATTTAGTCGGACGGCCAATTTGCACGTCAAATTCTCCAAGGACCTCCCGCATACGACTTGCGAGACGATCGGCCTTGGCAGAAGAATTCTCACCTGATATCATGAATACAATCCCACCATCAGCAGCACGTTTCTCACGACATGAGTCACTGGTAATGCCGAATTCGGAAAGACTAATTCGTCTTCTTGCCTCAGCAAGTACTTCCCCAAGACCTACGTTTGATCCCTCCCTTACACGTACAGTGATCGCTGCCGAAGTGGGAACTTTTGGCAGTTTCACAGACGGTTTATTTAATGGTTTGCTCTGCGCAGCCGAAGCGAATGAAACCATTGGTTGTGGGGCACTCGCCCTTTTGGCCTTACGTCCCACTACTAATGACCACGTGGTGGTGTCCTGAGAATTTGCTGTTCCCGGTCGTACATCTTTTGCAGCCGAAGTGACTATTCCCGCAGGCGAATCTGCAACCAAAGTGGATGTGATTGCGTTTAGTTTCTTCTTCTTCCTTTTCTTCCGCTTCGTCTCTTTGGCTGTCGCCTCTGTCTGGACTGGCTTAGAAGATGCAAGTCTCCTAGTATCTGAGGCGAGAGCTGGGCGAAGTGACTTCTCTGGCAGCAATCTGCCCTCTAAAGCGGCTAGCTTTGCATCCATCATAGCGCCAACCTCTATGGCGATGGAACGTCGCAATTGCGCTTCCGTATCTGGTGCCAGACCAGCAGATACGGACAGGTCTTGCGACTTTTGCTGTGCTCCCTGTTGGGATAGCAAGTTCAGCTGGTTTTTTAGACCGGAAACAGCTTCTTTGAGGCTAGCTACTTGAGATCGTAGATCCGCGTTCTCTTTGGCCAATCTATCCAGAGCGTCTTTTTCTGATTCAGGCATGCTTTCTACAGCAGCCTGCGCAGACCAGGCCGTCGTTCGGGTACGCTTACGTGCCCGCGCCGTTTTTGACGCCGTTGACATCTGGGAGACCGATGACAATTGCGAGCAATCAGACTCGCCACTGTCACTAGCTACTCCTCCCATTGGTGTAGCCGGTCGCTTAAAATGCGACCGCGTTGTTCTTCCTTTCGTGCCGGGACACGAACTGCTCTTGCTCGTACTCAATTTTTTCACCTCCTTATCATCATCTTTTAACGTTTTATTATTAATATTATCCATATAATTCCCACGAGAATGGGGGATATAAATGGTCCACCTAGGGAGTGCCCCCTGTCCCTAGGTAAGTGTACATTTATTACCCAACTAGAGGGTCCACCGGTACCCTAGCTGGGGGTGCGCTCGCGACTGACACTACTCCTCAGCCATGCATACCCTCGCCGCGCACCAGAACTTGGTATTGAAGGAATTTTTTATAGAGGTTATCTTCCTCGCGGTCCGGGCAACCAAGCCGAGACCTTCGTCCCGTTTCAAGTCATGATATCATGAACTCTTCGCGGATTACGACTCCGACGGCTGCAGTCGAGAGCAATGTGTCCCGATGCCACTCGTTGGCAGGGTGAGTGCTCAACGGGCACCGCCCTAGTCTTTCCGCTCCGCTCTCTGCTAAATTCAGAGAGACGGACGGAAAAACGTCCCCTCAGAAGCGCAGGCTATGTATCAGAACACGACCCGCCGCCTCCAGAACCCATCCTGGGTCTATCCGCCCCGTCCAGAAGTTCGCTACAGGCAATAGCCACTCCAACCCTGTCACCCCCGTTAGGGGGACTATTACCTGTACCCAGGGTGCACCACGGGGAGGTCTTCTGGCACCGCACCCCACCACAGACGAGGCCTAACTTGACCAATGTTCAATCGGGATTGCGGTTTTGGTGTTACAAGTATACTTACGTAGCCTGTGGTGCTTTCCACCAAACAACGTGCTTTACTTGAGCAACGAAAATAAAAAACCAATAAAAAAAATATGCTCTTTATTTACAGATTGCGTTAAACACGAATGTTTTAAACTTACATTAATTTACAATAACGTAATTAAATTACCAGAAAACACCTTAGTTTTAATTGATTTGTAAATAACTCTTTTTATACTTATTTTTATTTCATTGGCGTATTATACAAAAAATAAGTAGATTAATCTCATTTTTTTTCCATAATGTACCTACTTTATTAATGAATATTGAATTTTGTTACATTATAAAAAAAAACAAGGACTTATAGTGGATATCTAAGTATATTACTTATGACAAACATATACACATAATATTATTACACCTGTAATTATTAACTTCAAGTATTATTACATTATTTTATTTTTAATACAATTTGTAAGCTTATCGTTCAATCATGCGCAAGCGCAGAGGTCCGTCGGGTGCGTACATGAATGTGACAGCATAGTCGAGCGGCTCGTGATGGTATTCCAAACGGTATCGGCGGATTAACTGGAAAAAATATAAAATATATTTTACAAAAAAATATACAAAATGTAAATATAATAAAATTAAATCAAAACATTTTTTTAAAATTTAACGGTCATTCGAATACGGAGTTCGAACTATAACGTTCTGGTTCGTCTAATAAATGTGTGTGTGTGTGTCCTAATAGAAAATTTTTGTTATCACTGACTATAGTTTATTGTCGTCATCATTATCAGTCAGAATGAACAAAGAACGCTGTCTTTAAAGAGAGTTCAACAACGTCGAACTATCGTCCTGTTTTATCCAAGACTTGACAGTTACTGTTAGGTCTTGTTAAATTTAAAAGAATTTACTATCGTCAGCGTCACATCTCACGATGGCTGGTTGGAATGTTAGAACAATCCAAAATCCAAAATTGTTTATTTACAATAAAAATTATTTAAGGGCCAAAACAAATCTAAAATGGTTAGTAATAAATAACCATACCTTCGCTAAAAGAATTTGAATTTCCAAATCAGCAAATCTTCGACCGAGGCAGATGCGGGCTCCAAATCCATATGGAAGGGAGGCGAAGGGATGCAGACGGCCATCATTCTCCAGCCACCTCTCGGGTTTGAACTCCTCAGGGTCGGAGACAAACTGGGACATGTTACCCGTCACAATAGTGGGGAATACCACTTGAACCTGGAAAATAGGATAAAATTCAATGATCAATGATTTGATAAACTTTGCCGTAAGTGCTTTAACGCAATAATATTTTAGTGAAATAATGTTATATTGATTTATAATTGACTAGCGAACTATCCCGGTTTCGCACGGATGCAAAGCTGATACTAAATTTCTCCACTATTAAATAAATGTTACCTATTAGCGAAATAAACCTGGTATGCAGGGACAGTAATACTACCTACTTATTTTCTCTGTACCAGCCATACCAGCCATGTATTGATGATGAATTGTTTTGTTTTTGCTTCCTAGTAGGATTTATATCTGTTGGTTGCTTTGCAAATAACTTGAACATGAATATCGGAATCTTTATTTTCGACTTTAGACCTGCGTCGTGTGCTCTTGATTTCATTTGTATTGGCTCAATTAATATATCATAATACTTACGCCTTTAGGAATGTGGTAACCACAAATGACGTCGTCTTCTTGAAGTGTTCTGCCATTGCCAATAACAGTAGAATACATTCTAAAACAAGAGAATTTTTAATTGAATAGAAATAAAAAAACAAGGGAATTGAATAGAAATTATCGTGAGGCACAAGTTTTTTTTGTAATAACCATTTATTCGCGTTGTTTTTAATAAATATAATAATCATATAGTCGACATTTTCGTATCTAATCCATACGACAAATGGCATTAAGAAAACAAATGTATTTGAAATTTATAAAAGGAACCGCCAGAAATAGGAGCAATTTTAGGGTTCCACATAAAATATTATCGACTGAGTTCCATATCTAGCGCTGGCAATAATGCAGACTATAACAACCAACGATATTATAAGTAAAAAGGTGTAGATAGGTTACAAGCGCTCAGCGAGTGATACATAAAATGTGGCTAACTAGCCACAGTTTTTCATATTTGTCTCTTTTTCACTCGCGATTATTTAATAATCACTTTGATGTCTACTGTGTATCAGTGTGTCGTTTTCGAATTTTGTTTAGGTAACCTAACTACACCATTTTACTTATAATATTATTGATAACAACTTGTTAATATGATCGGAATGTTTACCTAAACACTTCTCTAACAAATGCCTTGGTGTAATGTAGTTTATCCAAGTCTGAGTAAGTCAAAGGCTTGCTGGGATCTGGTAGCACTCTTCTGATCTCCTCTGCCATCTTCTCCTGTTGCTTCAACCTTGTCGCCGCTTGGTACAGGATTGAGCAAACTGCCATTGATATCTGAAAAGTCCACAAAAGACTTTATTTAAATAGAAATAAAATAATTCAACCTCACTGTACCCTGTTGGCAAGCCCTTTCTATTTGTTTGGGGGTAATCATCATCATCATTAGCCGTATGACGACTGCTGGACAAAGTCGTTCCAAAAAAATAAAAATAAAATCCACACATATCCACCCATATGCCAAAAACATGAGCGCTCGATGATCAGAGACTTGTGTTTTCTTTTTTGATATAGTATCAATTAATAAAAAAACTAACATTGCTTCATACAATTACTCATAAAAACAAATATTTATTAATACAACTTACCGTATCAATTCCAACTAGAATAAGATCGAGCGCCATGACGGTAGCGATCTTTGGATCTCCCTCACTCCTTAGAACTCGCTCCAGAAGAGACAGATCGTTCTCTGAAGTCACTTTTTTTGTTTTTAGCCGTTCGAGAGCTTCGTTGATGTATTTGCTGCAAAGCCTGAAATAAAAAATCATTAATTAAAATCCATTTTCATAAAAAGGTCGAAATTACAGACGACATGTAACTTCATAACGGTTCTGTAATTATTTAGGTGTGGTATGGCATGGAGTTTCGTGTATAAAACCCCACAAATGCAAAAAGAACAAAACTATTTCCCTTATATTGTTTAAATATTTTATTTTTTATTCCGAAAACAACAAGCACGAGAGGCTAGCAGATAAGCAGCATACGTTTATAAGTAAGTAACTTCTCTGGTTTTATTTGTCTAAGCGGTGCTTTTTTACTGGCCATCTGTCCTATAAAAATCAATATAATATAATATATAGGCACTTACTCTACAAAGAAGTTCATATTGTTAACATATCTCGTCCACAGCGGAGTCGGTATGTATCTCCAATACGGCGCCTTAAGTTCCAACACAGCAACATTCCTAAGCGCAAATTTTGCCGCATCAATTATGCGCTGTGTTTCCGAATCGCTGGTTAAATCCGGAGACAAACAACCCAATCGGGTATCGAGGGCGACGCGACCGATACCTAGACAGAATAGACAAGAGATGGCGTTGTTAGTTTAAATTTTATTACAAAAGATGGCAGCACAATATCGGACTGTGATTGGCCCTGACCAAGAATTTACATAAACAGTTTTTTGTAGTTCTGGGTTATTTTAAAGGATATCTGCAATTTTTGTCTGAATTAATTGATAATAACTACAACGTTTACCATTTGAAGTGGCATCATGTTGCGGTCGACTTACTAATCTGTTCGCGCACGATTTAATGTAAGTAGGTAGGTAATTAACTGCAGTTAGATTACTAATACCTAACACAAAGATAAGCAAGCTACTAATTACGATTAAGTGCATAGATAGATTTTTTATACAGACATAAATTACTAAATCGTTTTTTTTAGTATTTTATTTATCTCGATCGTCATTTAACTACTAAATCAATAAATCAATTAGTAGGCAGCGTATGAAGACTGATGATGGTAAAATTGTACAAGTAAATGAATTGAGTAACGACTGCAACATCTTTTCAATTTCTGCATTTGTCTTTGGCGCACAGAATGAAATTTTGTGAATGAACGAAAATAATTAACTATGGTACTTATAGTTTGTTTGTTTGTTTGAACGCGCTAATCTACAGAAATACTGGTTCAATTAAATTATTCGTTTCGTATTTGTTAGTACATTTATTGAGGAACGTTTGAGCTATAAAACATAACGCTACGGTTTGTAAAAGCTGAGCAGTGATTGAAACCGTGAGACAGAAGCTAGTAATAAAATAAAAAGTTAATAAAAAACTTACACTCAAGCGACCATCTATGAATATCATTGTCGAACTCATGAGGCAGATCTCCGTTTTCATCGCGAGCTTTCTCCATGTACTTGATGAAATCTTCTGTCACCATTTCAATGGGAGCCACGTACTTCTTCACTGTTTGTGGCTGCAGTATGGGGCGCTGGACCTTCGAACGAAAACGACGCCATTGCTCTCCGTGTCTGTGAATAAAATAAAGAATTGTAATATAGCATAAGACTCACAAAATTTTATCATGTAATGTATTATACCGTTTCATAATAATCAGTTTCAATGAGACTTTTTAAATATTTTTGATGTGATGTTTTATAGACCTACTTATTAAAATAAAACCAAAAAAATAAAAAATTAAGACACAGCAGCTGAGCAGAAACACAAACGAGGGCTTATAACCGCAAGACAAACAAAGTAGAAGAAAATAATATAAGTAGGTAAATAAAACCAATTAACGTGAGAGTTTATTATTTGCGAAGTTAATATTTGATTGCCTCTCACATTATCCTATTTGCGGATTTAAAACAACTAAATAAATAATATTAAGATTTTTTTTTGTGAGAAAGAAATTATTGTGCATTTGCATGCAAGACGTGTCTAAAACTGACAATAAATTAGACTGTCCGATCATGAAATCCTAAATGTCTTGTTTGGAATTCGAGCATGAGCTATCAAAATGTTTAAGAGAAGCCAAACGACGCTTCATGGTAGGTCATTCAAAGAATATGATCACATAAAATAAACCAGCAATTACTAACAATACCCTTAATATATTCAACTGACTAAACATGAATAAGTATTGGAATATAATATGTCTAACAAATAAAAGATATCTACTGAGTAAAACAAAGCAAATAGTTAGTTTACAAATGTAAGCTATTAAAACTTAAAAGGTGCGAACTGACTGCCCGGCTGAATGTACCATTTGCAGAAAACATTAAGCCGTGTTCTTTAGTTTAAAGTGAGATGAGAACTGCAGTGAACTCAAACAGAATTATTTGTTGTCTTCGCTTCCATAAGCAAATATTTTGGAGGCTCTGGAAACAAATAAAATTGCATTTTTCGACATTTTGGGCAACAATTCCCATTCTTTTGTTTCTGTTTCATTGCTTGTTGTGTCCTATTTTCACTTTTTACATACAATATAACGTCGTCGTGGGCTAGAGGTTAAGGGGCGCCATACCTTTTGCAAGCATTCATCAGTCAGTCAGTGACATAAAGTCAATAGTTTCTGTCTCTCTTTTGAATCAATATTTATTTTAGTACAAGTGTATCAAATAACGTCAATGTGACTTTTTCGGAGTTATATTTACTTTCTATAATTTTTTCGACACCACTGACAAACGGTGAAGGAAAACATCGTGAGGAAACCTGGACTCTTAATTTCTAATTATAAGTTTGAAATCGCCAACCCGCCTTGAGCATACGTAGTGATTAATGCTCAAACCTTCTCCTTGTGGGAAGAGGCCTGTGATCAGCAATGGGCACTTATAGGCTGATGATGTTATGTGATGTGACATACAATATCAGTACTTGCTTAAAGCGACAGCAACAATGACGAGGAAATGACAGCATAGCTCCGATGAAATCGTCTTGGGAATAAATATGTGTAATTGAAGCGCATGCGTGAAAAAATGCGACGAACACGATCACACTATGCACGATATCTTCGACTCTTCAACAAAGTATATCGATTTTATAGTCAATACTAGCTTCTGCCCGCGACTTCGCCTGCGTGAAATATCGACTTCTGCAGATTTTTGGTATAAAAACTATCCTATGTCCTTTCGCGAGTTCTAAACTATGTCTGTACCAAATTTCACACAAATCAGCTCAGTACTTTAGGCGTGATGAAAAAACAGACAGAAAGAGTTACTTTCGCATTTATAATAATTGAATTTGGAGCTTTAGATTAACTTTACAGTTTCTGTTGTTAAAATGTTGTCCCATGCATATCTAGGACAGCTCCGAATATTTTGTTCAGTACTTATAAGACGTTAAAAAAAAGATGATGATACCAATAATGACGAAATTTAAAAAGGTTTTCCCTGTCTATAATTTTCTCCAGTGTCGTAGGTTCGTTAACATACAATGCCATATACACCAAGACCCGGAACAACAATTTACGGACACACAAGTGAAATGAAATCACAACAAATTGAGTGGCAGCTGGTTGCCCAGACACTGACTTCAAAATTTGCATTCTCTTCAAAATTCGCATGTCACTACAATATCCCGAAACATAGACAGACACCATTATGTACAATAGTCAGGATTATATGGTAAACAACCAGAGATGGAATTCTAAGATCTAAGACAATGATTGTACTTCTATGGTGTTTCTGGACAATGCCCAATATACTTCGTTCCATTTGCATACATAACACCTGATCAACACGATTTGTCATTTTCTATGCATATCGCGTTCATTTTGCATGTGTGGCATGGTAGGTAATGGATGTAGATAACTGCTTTATATTTTTCCTTAACGAAAAAAAGAAACTGTTTTACGTGACTTGGGAGTTTATTGTGCATTTCTATCGTTTTATTGAATTTGTGATTTTGAAGAAAAATTTGTTTTTCTTCTGTTTAATAGGGACGACGTTTCTTATTTCCAACGCTATTTACTTTTACTTTTTCATCATACTAGATTTGAAGTTCTTCGCAATCATAGAGGCTCTAGGCACATAATATATGGAGCATTGCGCGACGCGACGTGCGTTTGTCATTCATTGCAGTAGCAGAGCGAGCCATTGCCAGGGTAAACTCAAACTTATAAACATTTCGAGCGATGTATAACAGACAGACGGTGTAAAAGTGTAGCTAGAGGCCCAGGGTTACGAGTGCAAGCGCAATTATATACCGCGGCCCCAAACTGGCGCATGAGAAGGAACAGAATGGTTTAGAATGGAATGGAATTTGTCAGTAAGATTCTGACACACCCTGTCTACCTCTCACCTCTCCCCGCCCAGCGCAAGATCGTCGAAATCATTCAATCAGTGAAACGAAAAAGTCAACAATCTTACAAAAAATTCAGCTTATTGAGGTTAGCTGATATCTGTAAAAACCATGCAAGGCTTACATAGCCCAAGAGAGACTGACTAACAATGTTTATCTGTGTACATTTGAATATTCAGAACACTTTCAAATGTCATGCATACGTTGCAATCTCTGTATTTATCGTGAGCGCAATATTGCATAGGTACCACCTGACCTTTCTTTGTGAAGATATTCTATAATAAAACAACTGTTTCAACATTTTATTACAAAACGAATAGTAGCTTTAAAATTTTATGAATTTTAAAGTAATATCAATAAAAGTGTGTCTATGGATAAACTAATGGTAATGTTACATTTACTTATGTTTTGTTTGTTTTTTATTTCCGCACGTGATACTGATTTTTTAATTTATTTGTTTTTTAGTTATCTTGAAGCTTTTCAGACAACAAATCAACAAAAATGTCAATGAATTTTACTAAACCAAAACAGCTCTAACTTTCTCTTGTTTGCGGAAGACATTAGAAACGCGCGCCAATATTGCTAGAAACTTCTCTATGTGGGAATATGACACTTTTATGTCACTGTCACTGTCACTGTCAGCAGCTCAGCTGTCGTCAAGGTCATTGACTTTTGCTAAGATTCGCTTCAATGCGAGGTGGTAAAAGAAAATGTTGATCGAACACTGTTTATAGAGTGGTAAGTAAATGGTCTGAAACATAAGCTGTTTTTAATTCACCAAACCCCAAGCGAATGGCGTTCATGCCTTACTCAAATGTCTCAATTGAGTGAGAGTGTCTCAAATCACCACCATTGAAGGTTAATTTAAATATTCTTGCCTATCCGCAATAGCTAAAAAAAATCAAATTTAGCTGGTCCAGTGATTAAGTAGGTTCCTGAAGGGCATGATTTGATTTGTTTTACTTTTTTGAATAAGTATTTTAAACTGCTCAGTAATAGTTTGAAATTGGAATTTTGCGTCTAAAATTCTTGCGTTTCCATGATAGCAACGAGGTTATACCACGATGTGTAATGTTGTGTATATAAATCATTAAAAATAAAATCTGCATTTTTTTTCAATTGGGTAGTTTCCTAGGTCAAAAATAAATTAATTCGACGTTTCAATACAATAAAATACTGAAAAGTAACTATACTTATATTCATCGATCGATCGATACAATTAGTTTTAGATACTTTTTAGCTAATTGTTAAGAAATAAGTAACCTATTTGATGCAAAAATACTATGACGTCATAACTCAGTGTTTCATACAAATTTCATAGAAAAGTATCATTTTTGACGTTTGGATAAAAGTATTGTATTTGACCAGTTGGAAACTACCGTATTCTTGCGTTTACATGATAACGAGGTTATACCACAATGTAATGTTGTGTATAAATCATTTAAAAAAATCTGCATTTTATTTCAATTTAATAGGGTCAACTGAATTATCATTCAATAAAAAACACTTCTACTTTTCTTTGTAAACGCGAACTGAATCACCAAACAAAATACCGCAGAGAAGTGTTAAAAAATTATTCAAACAAGTTTTTCTTGAGATAACAATGATTCAATTTTTTGTTCATGAATGACGATGTTCAATCAAATTTAGGTTAGTTCCTAGTGCCAAAATTTTTCTGTCATTCTTTGAAAACCAAAATTATTTAGTATCTTTAGAGATACATCATAATCAGTCAAAACTGCGGAACATCCTGCACAGTTGAACAGAATTATGGAGGTTAGTTTTATATCATCCCATAATTCGTAAACAACTAATACCCAGTTTCTGAAAGGCTCGTCAACGCTAAAATTAACTAATCTCCTGTTAAATCTCTTGTCAAGTCATCTGATTGGTTGTTGATAATTCAGTCAACCAATCAGATGACTTGACAAGATATTAAATTGATTTTAACATTGATCGGCCTTTCGGAAACCGGGTCTTAGTATTACAGTTTATCATTACATTAAAGACCCCTAGTGGCTGCAATACGTCTCTTTTATACAGAACATAGATGAATAGCTCATTTGTTTTATGATGATGTTAGTTTCTTGGTAACGGTGCGTAGCTATAAAACACATTTGAGAGTAAGGTTGAGTTGTAACAGATGTATGGACAATACTGTGGGGCAATATGATATAATTCATCTTCAAAGATATTGTTATGGTTGTGAAACAGACCCTTAATAAAATAA